AGGTCGGCCAGCGGGGAGGGAGGGGGCCGGAGGGGTGTCGAGGGGGTGGGACAGAGCTTGAGGGGTGACGAGAAGGAGAGGACAGGGCGAGGGACGGAGGCCTATTCGGGAATCGCGAGATGGGACGGGAGTCAGCGAGGGGGAGGACGGAGCCGGGAGCCCCAGCCCCGGGAGCCTCTCCGTCCTCCCAGTGCAGCGGGTGCGGGACACCACTCGCCACCCAACGGTGGCTCCTGCGGACGAGGCCTGCAGCGCCGCGTTCTCCCTGTTGGGGCTTGGCAGGGAGGAGGTCCCCAGCTGTGCAGGAGGGCGGTGCTGGACATCAGCCTCCGCTCCACCCGCGCGCCGCTTCGCTTCCCCCGACCCTACCTGTGGGCGGGGCCTGCGCGGGTGCCTCGGTCGTCCGTGCCGTTCCTGGGGTGGTTTCGTTTCCACGCTTCGTGGGTGTCTTCAGGGGCGGTTGTTCCATGTAGGTGGGTAGGGTTGAGGATGAAGAATTGGGAAAGACTTAAAGCCGGTTTTGGTGGCGTCAGACCTGGGTTTGAATGGGAGTCCGTGCTCACCACCCCTGCCATCTCAAGCGAATCAAACACCTGGGGGAACGGTGTTCTCAGAACTGGGCACCCATTGGCCTGCCGACCTCCATGGGCGGGGGGTCCCGTGGGCGCTGAGACTCCGCATGTCCAAGTCCAGGCTCCTGGTCCTCCCTTCCCCTTTCTCCTCTCCTTCCCCGTGACCCTGTCCCTCCAGATGCTGGGAGTCATCCTGGAATCCCCCTTTCTCGCCCATCCATTTTACCTTTAGAATCAATTCACATTCCACCAGCTTCCCACCTTCTCGTCCCTCTCCAGGTCCCACCCTCTCCCCTCACAGCAGGGTTCCATCCCTTCTCCACCAGAATCTTCCATGGTTCCACCTCACAGTCACAAGGCCCTGTGCGACCTGCCTCATCACCCCCAGCCTGGATCCTTTGCCTGCACCTGCTGGCTCCCTCCGGCCTTCCTGGCCTACCCAGAGCTTTTCTGCCAGCTGCTTCCTCCCCTGGATTCTCGGGAAGTTCACGGCTCCCTCTGCTCGCTCAGAGGCCTGCCCTGACGGCCACTCAGCCCTCATTCTTCTGTTCACTGTTTACCATTCTTTAACAGTTTAGCGTATTATATCGCATTCATACTGTCCCCTCACACACCCTGGATGCTGCCTCTGTGTCCCTAGCACTCGGCCCCATGGTTAGCTACTCTGGCGACGGTGGTCATGGTCATTGTGATTCATACTAGGACAGGGACAGTTTGGTAACTGAGTTTCCAGTTTTAGACTCATGCACTTGGCTTCACCCCATCCCTGTTTCTTCACTTGCTGGCTCCCACCCCTCGGATCCCCAGGTCATGTCTGCAAAGCAGAGGTGACATGGGACAGGAGGAGACTGCCCACCTAGAGCCTGGGATCAGAGGCTGTGGTCATGCCAGGCTCATGTGGTTTGGGGACCCTGGGCAAGTGCCTCCTTGCTTCAGGTGCCTCAGTTTGCTCATCGGTGAAATGGGTTTGAGCAGAGGTTTGGAAGCCAAGGTGCAGAGGTAAGGAGGATTTCTTTGTGTGTTAAAGCTCCAGAGAACAGGGGACCAAAGCAGGATTTAAGCTGTAAAGCAGGGCTCAGGGTAGGGAGATGGCAGTCAGGTAGGGAGAGGGCTCTGGGCAGGCTTCCCCCTGCCTGGGGTCCCCTCTGACTGCCCTGTGGTTGCCCCTCAGAGCCTAGAGGTGGGGATCCGGAAGAAGATCGAGCATGACGTGGTAATGAAAGCCAGCAACAGCCTGCCCAAGAAGCTGGCGCTGCTCACGGCCCCCAAGAAGAAGGGGGCAGTGGCGCCCTCCAAGACGTCGTCCTGAGGACGCAGCCAACACCACAGCCTCCATCTCCATACTCAGACCTGGCAGGCACCCCCATGCACTGTGCTGTGGGGGAGGGGGTCCTGTCCCACAGACTGGGTTATACCTAGAACTTCGGTGGGAGCCTGACCCGGGAGTAGGCAATCAGCGGAGTCCAGTGGTGGCCGGAAAGATGTGGTCACCAGCTTCCTCTGTCTCCACTGGCTTAACCCACAGTAAACCTGGCTTTCTTGTTCCTCTTGTGGTCCTGAGATTCTGTGAGCGCCAGGGTTGGGGCGGGGCCGAGTGAGCCCACCAGTCTCCACAAGAGACCTATCCACCTGCCGCCCCAACAGCCACATGCCCAGAGGACCACTGGGCTTCTGCGCCTGCAACCCCAAGTTTGGGGGTTGGGAAAGTTTCTCACTCACCGGCATGCCCTCTGCAGACATGCCCCAGCCACTCACTCTCAGCCAGCAGGTCCTCAGCGCTGGAGACACAACCAGGGACAGGCCAGATATACACAGGTCAGGTGCCACCTCATGGGGGTCATGTTGCTACCTTGAAGAGTGCCAACTGTATCCAGGCATGGCAGCACATACCCATAGTCACAGCTTCTTGGGAGGATCACTTGAGCCCAGGAGGTCGAGGCTGCAGTGAGCTATAATGGTGCCACTGCCTTCCAGCCTGGGGTACAGTCCCCAAAAAAAACTTGACTGCAAAAAAAATCGTGGCAGCCAGCATTTATGCAGTGCTGCCTGTGGGCTATGTACAGTTCTAGTGCTTTCTGCACATCACCACAACCAGCAAGGTCATACAGGACATTCTAGAGGCAGGATTTTCTCCTGCAGCTGGCAGAGGCCCAGTCCCCCAATCTGTGTTCTCTGCTGTCCCCCACTGTCTTGCCAGACCAAGATTCTCTCTATCTCAGGGCTACCCACCCAAAATCATGACTCAGGTCTGCTGGGCCAGGCGGGGCCTGTGGGCTTCCACTCTGCCGGGGCTCTATGGGCCCTGGTCACAGCACAGAGAGCAGATTGGCTGTAGTCAGGTGACACTGAGCCGTGGTAGAGTGCCTGTGGGTATGGTTGCCTCCCCCAGGCCAGGCCACTGGTTCCCTGGCAGCCTGTCCTCCTGGCCGCCTCATCCACTGTGGAGACAAATGCTGCGTCCAGCAGGTGCTCCCAAGCATATTTTCAGGGTCCCACATGGTGAGTGAAGACTTTGAACTGCCCACATCTTTTCTTTTAAGCAGGGGGAACAGTCTGTCGGTTATTGGATGAGCCTACGATAGTTCCCATGGGACTCAGCAATTCTCCTAGGTGTGGACCCCAGAGAGTGGGAGATGTGAGCTCACACTTAGTGTGCCATGTTCACAGTGAAGGGGGAAGCAGCCTGCAGGTCCGTCCACTCAATGGAGTACTGGCCATAAAGAGGAGAGAAGCACCGACGCACACTACGTGTACGAACCTCAAAACTTGCACTGAGTCAGAAAAACCAGATGCAGAAGACCTTGCAGTGTGTGATCCCATCTAAGTGACACGCCCAGAACAGGCAAATCCACAGAGCTGAGAATCAGATTGGTGGCCACCAGGGGCTGGGGGAGGAGGGGGTGACTGCTCATGGGACGGGGTTTCTTTCTGGGGTGATGAGAATGCTCGGGTACTAGATAGAGATGGTGATTGTAGCAAATGCCAATGAGCTGTATGCTTTGCAAAAATAAATTGTATGTGAATTTCCACAAAATCCTGATGTTGCAGGAAAACAGAGACCTTGACACCGAGGCTGTCTTAGGAAGTAGCAGTTTAACACTGGCGGGACTCGGCGGGCTAATGCTCCAAGGCTGAGCAACCCAGAGAAAGAGGAGAAGGGTTTTATACATTAGTTTAGGTAAGAGAGGGGGTCAGGTTGTATGACTATACATTTTTCTTTGTAATTTACAAGGTGGTATTTAGCAAAACCAGATTTTCATAAAACAGATTGTCTCCAGGATATAGATGACAAGCAGGGGTTGTAAACCATAACTTCACAAAGACAGGATGTGGGGGTAAAGTTGTGAATTGGTTACTGTCTTGCATCTTCAGGAAAGCACCTTGTGGCTATATAGGTTTTTTGTTGTTGTTGAGTTGGAGTTTCACTCCGTCGCCCAGACTGGCGTGCAGTGGCACACACACGGCCACCCCAGCGTCGACCTGCTGGACTCCGGCGATCCTTCCGCCTCAGCCTTCCAAGTAGCTGGAACTACAGGCGTGTGTTCCCATGCCCAGTTGCTTTTTTATTTATTGTAGAGATGAAGGCTCACCAAGTTGCCCAGGCAGGTCTCGAACCCGCGGGCTCAGGCAATCCACTCACCTCAGCCTCCCGAAGCGCAGGATTACAGGCTGAGCCACCAAGCCCAGCCTATTTAGTTTTTTCTAGCCTCATGCCTATCAGGTTTGGAGCCTGCAGGTTGATCTTTTAAAGGAATTGTAACTGTTTTTAGCCCCTCTCTGCCACACTGACTTAACAGTCTGTAAAACTCGAGACTGGGACAGCCAGCAACTTGTAGAAAGTCTGTCCCTTGGGGTTCCCGGGCCTCCGGAAAGGCCCGCCCTCAGAACTCTGGGGCAGGAAGGGGCTGAGACCCAGGCCCCTCACGGGCAGCTTTCCTTCCCTCTTTCTGGCTGGGATCCTGGGGCTTGGCTGCTTGACCCCCTGGGCACACCCTTGAGCCCCACCCAGGGGACCCAGGCCGCTCGCCACCTGCCCACCACTGGCAGTGCACGACTTCTGCCCTTGGGACAGGGCTGCTTGGCTCAGCATTGACTGCGTCAGCGCCAACCTCTGGGCACTGCAGAGCTGAGAACCAGAGCTTCAAGGACACCAAGCCCGTGCCCCCACCCCCTTCCCCTGCAAACCACCCTCCCCCTGCCTGCCTCCTGGCCTTGGACGCCACCTTGGAGAAGCCCTCCGTGTCCCGCCCCTGGGATGACCTGTGTGGTTTTCTCCTTGGCCAGGTTGCCCTGCCCCTCAAGTCCTGGCTCTGTCTCCTCTGGGGCTCTGCTCGGCACCTGGAACAACGCATGGGCAGCGCTCTGAACTCAGGTGTATCTGGAATGAAGGAGGGAATGACTCCTGCAGGGAAATCCCTGCTTGGGCGGCGGTGAATCAGTGCTGACCCTTCAGCGGTCACCCAGTGAGATACCTACAAACAATGCCCTTCAGGTCCACACCACTGTCTTTGAACAGTTTTATGACTCTTTAAGGTGAAGAACTGCTTGAGGACAAATGTGTCCTGTCCTGTCCACACAGACAGCCCTGACCCCTGTGGGAACGTCTGTCTGCCCCCCTTCTCACCTTGACCTGAGTAGCCTGACCTATAATCATGCCTTTTGGAGACCTTTTTTTTTTTTTTT